TAACTTCAATAAATAAACTTTATAAATCAAAATTATCTTCTGAATCAGAATCAGACATATCTGGATGTTTCATTAAAAGATAGCTCTTGACATCATCGTCTATAATAATATTTTTTTGCAGACGAAATTGAAACCCATTTGACAATGAAGATATCAAAGGGTCTGACGAAACTAATAAATCATTTATGATATCTTCCATAATATTTTTCCTTAAATTTTTCCTTGTATTGCTCTAGCGTATGTTTCGATAGTCCTTGTTCCTGGCTTCAAGAGCTTCTTCGGACATTATACCAAGGTATCAGTTAAATGGTACCAAAGTATCAGTTAATTGGGTGTTATTATTATTTGATTTTGAAAACTTTCTGGGCGTGCTTCAATAATCCTAGCAATCATATGGTTTGTAATGGTACTTCAGCGAAATTATCAGTGACCGTCATGACACTAGGATAGTGTCACTAGGATAGTGTCAATGCTACGACAACGCAGTTTGTCGTAGCATGGATATATATCGACCCTTTAGCGGCTCTCTTTGACAAATTCCATGTGTACTTGATATGTCCAACATCTACAAATAGCGCCAGTGCTTTTTCATGAGACCTGCTTTAAAATAGCAATCGTAAGTTCAAATTTAAGAATTTCAGCTCTGTCTGTTCTCCAAATTGTACCAGATTTGGTACAATTCTGTACTTTTCATACACTCCCACAGTAACCTAAGTGGCAGCTTTCAGAATTCGAGTTCTAACCGTTCACTCAAGTCCACATTGTACCAAATTTTGTGCTTTTCGTACCCATAAGTACGAATTTCCAAAACTACCTCAGTCATGCACTCCAATAATAACCTTAAGTGCACATTTAAATATCCCAGCTCTATCCGTTCACCAGCATCCAAATTGTATCAAATTTAGTATCATTTATTACTTTTCGTAGACGTTAGTAGGAGGTTCTAAAACTTCTCAATTTCACACTCCAAAACTTTATTTTTAATGACAAATTTCAGGATCCCAGCCCTATCCGTTCATATAGATCCAAATTGTACCATATTTAGTACTTATGAGTTCGAATTTCCAACACTGTCTCAATCCTGTATTCTAACAGTAATTTTATTATACCCTTCACAACACTGTGGTACAGGGTATTATGTCTTTGTGCATATATTTGTAACAGGCAAAAATAATCGAGATAGACCAATGGTTCCTTTTGAGAATATGCATAGACTCACTTTCTGAGTCGATTTATGCACCAAAGTCTCTGAAAATCATTTGATTTGTACGAATTGTGGCATAGCGTATTGAATTAAATCTAGAATGGCGTATGCTAAGTTTTGTGAAAATCGGTGCAGATTTAGATATAGCTTCCATATATAGTTTCACCCGATTTTAGGTAAATTGTGCACCAAAGTCTTTGCTAATTTTTTTATTGGCATAGATATATCGTAGCTTCCATATATAATTTCGAATTATTTATGTTTATTGTATACCACATAATCAATAGGTGTCTGATTGAGATTAAATTTTAAACAGTGCAGCATACCGAATAGAGTTTGTCAAGTTGGCTTTAAATCGATTTACACAAATCTGTCCCACTGAGCGCAAACGACTCTAAACTTGCCCAAATGAAATGAAATTTAGCATAGGTTCCAGAAAGACATTAAAATCACATATTTAAGTTCGTTCGATTTCATGTCAAAATTCCTTAAAAAAGGCGACGTCTTTTCGGATACATATGTAGAATATACCCAAAGTGGTGAAGGGTATCATACAGTCCGACTTTACTACTTTCCTTACTGGTTTTTAAATATACGTTTTCCATCTCTATCCTTTTATTCAAATCTGAATTGTACTAAACTTAGTACCATTTAGTACACATAATTACGCATTTTTAAAACTAACTCCATGTCTCATCCTACAATCCAATCCTTAATTTTAATTCAAAATTTTATGATTCCCGCTCACACAAAACAAATTGTAACATATTTAGTACCATTTTGTGCTTCTCGTATCCATAAGTACATAATTCCAATACTACCTTAAATCTGTAATTTTTCATTCCAATTTTAAGTTTTCCATCTCTAACCGTTCACTCAAATCTATATTGTACCAAATTTAGTACCATTTAGTACACGTATTACGAATTTTCAAAACTACCCACATATCTCAATCCTGCATTCAAACTGTTATATTAATTCATAATTTCAGGATCTCGGCCCTATCCATTCACACAATTGTTCAACAATTTGTAAACCATTTGGTACCAGTTAGTACTTTTTTTTGTACACTCCAATAGTATTTTTAATTCGAAAATTCTGGAGTCCAGCTCTATCCGTTCACACATAATTAAGTTGTGCCAAATATAGAACCATTTAGTACACATAAGTACTATGCTTCCATATCTCAATTCTATATACCAACAGCAACCACTATTCCAAATTTTAGGTTTCCAGATCTCTCCATTCACCCAAATCCAAATTGTACCAAATTTAGTTCCGTTTAGTACTTTTCGTACATATAAATGCGAATTTCAACTGTAATCTTACTTCCAAATTTCATATATAAAATTTCAAGATTTTAGCTATATATGTTCAATATATGTAGAATTAGAACTACATTTAGTACTTTTAGTACACTTATAGGTCGAATTTCCAAAAACCCCTTTTGTACATCTTTCTAACTTTCCATCAGTGACCCACATTCCAAATTTCAGAATTCTAGCTCTTCCCGTTCGCCTAATACAAAGGGTACCATATTTCGTACATTTTAGTACTTTTCGTACCCTTCTAGTACGAATCTCCAAAAACCCAGCCTTATCTCACGCCTAAACACCAACAACAACCCACACTCAAAATTTCAAGCTTCTAGCTTTAGCCGTTTCGTCTGGGCGATGATCTGTCAGTCAGTCACTCACTCACTTAACACTAAGCTCTTTTATATATATAGATAACTTCCCTATCCGAATACATACATCTACATAATTTGTATCAATTTAAAGGTAAACCACTCCTCTTGGATATACTGTCAACTTCTCCAGTCTGTGTCCTTCAGGAATAAATATCTACGCCATAGAATAGATTTTTTTAATTAATATTGATCTTCATCAAAACATTGGCCCATTTTCATATTGGTGTAAAATTTCGACGGGTTTGGGTCATATTGTGGTTTTTAGAGCGACCAGAAAAACAGACAAAAATAAAGTTTTGGGCCATTTTGGGCCCTAAATAATAACGGATCATTAATAATAGGGGTCTTCATTGGCCAGAACCCGTCCTATATGCAAAATTTCGTGACCATTAGTCCTTAACTGTGGCCTGTATCGTGTTTTCAAGTTACTCGAGATATGTATATTGCACACCAAAATTTGCACAAATGTTTCTTCAATTATCCGATACCCGCTTAATTGAATAGTCTGTTCAATTACAGAAATCGAGAATAATTGGAACTACTAATTAATAAAAAGAAATCCAATGTCAAATACAAATTACGCTTTCTCGCAGTTTTTCCTCAACAATAAACTTATGTTTTCAATTAGTAGAGATGCCACCTAGTCTTTTTCACAAATTATGCCAAATATGTATGTAAAAAAAATCTTATTTTGAATTAACCGGTGAAAAGTAAAAGGAAATTTGTTATTGATGACATTAATTTTGAACCAATTAAGCGGGAAAATCAATTAACAAGGATCAATTATCCGAGGAAATTTACATGTATTTTCCTATGCAATATTTTTTGCCCCATCATGTTGTTCAATTAAGCGTGTAAACCAATTAACCGTAGGGTCAATTAACCGAAAAATACTGTATACATAAAGGTGGGTCTTCGACCTAGCTATAATACCCTGATAACTTAGTTGTGCAGGGTATAAAAATTCACGTTTTTTGTTAAGTCTTCAAAAATATTTTTAAAAATTCCCGCTCTTTGTTAGACTTTCAAAACATCCACTTTAAAAAAAGATTACCACACATTTGCCACTAATTCCATCGTGCCATAATTCACAATAGTTACCCAAGTGCCATTGTGAATTCGTTCGTTGGCAATACGAATAATATCAACTGTGTAAACTAAATAAATTTAAACATATGTAAAGTGTATAGCTGATGCTGATGTGTACACTAAATTAACTATTTCCTCATTAAGTGCCGGAACGTTAACAACCCCATCGTATAATATTAGTTATTTTTTATCTTTGTAATAAATAAAAAAAAACTATAGTAAGTTAAAAACTCAATATAAAGTGTCCTAAAGTGTGTTCTAATGTTATTAAAAAAACATCAACTGAATATAAATTGTTTACGTTCGTTTATTTTGTTTAATGCCAATGACCTTTTTCTCGAAGTCAACAAAATTTATTGTCGAAAAATATTATTGTATAGATTTTTTTAACTTTAAATGACTCTTTTTACAAATTCGCCCCTCTTTGCATTAATGAACCGGCAATGTTAATAAGAGAGCAATTCATTAACTGGTAACATTAAGAGTGCTGTTATTAAGATTAATCATATTAAATCACTAATGCACAAAATAGTACGATAGCGGTGATGGCCAAACACGTTTTCTCGTTGTCTCTCTTTGCGTTAGTCATTTTTGTTGTTGATCTCTCAGTTACGCTCTCACGCACTTACTCTTAATTTAGTTCTGTTCAACACTGTATTAAATTAACAGAGAAAACTACACATCATCGACAATGATTTTCGTTTCTCTTATTTTCATTTATGTTGAAATAAACAGCTGATTTTCGTTTCTCTTCTTTTCATTTATGTTGAGATAAGAGAAATCCTGCTTGTTTTGCTTAAACAAAACAATTTCTGTTAACATTCCCCTTATCACTTGCCATCAAGAACAAAACTTACTGTTACAATTTGAAAAACAAAAAATAATAATAAATAAACAGTGTGTAAGTACACTTAAAGATAAGCTTGATAAGCAGTTTTTTTAATTTAATTTATTTTGTAATATAAATTATAACCTGTAATAAAATAGTCTTGGTTTTTTATTAGTTGCGTGGACATCATGAGTACTTTATCGGATATTTCGAGCAAATTTACCGAAGCGGTATTGGAGGATATCATCAAAAAAGCTGGTGGTACTAAATATACATCGCATAAATTTGGTAAAGGTTTCAAAAAAGGTGATTCATATTTGAGTCGTGTATTTCGTTTGTGTGTCTACGGTGTCAACGAGGATAATGGGTGAGTGTATTTGTAAAAACAATGTAATGTGATAATTTAAATATGCCTAAATCTATAATTTTTGGAAAAATAGGTATAATTAGATGCGGATATATTAATCACCATAACGTTTACATGTTGATAGTAGACTAAACAGCTAGGATTTTTTCCTCGATTTAGAAATCAAGACTATTTGGAAGCTATAGTCTTAATGCGCCTTAACGATAAGTGCCAACGTCTGACGGAGCCTGGTATCATATAGTATACCCTACACAACTTTCGGTATATAAAAGTGGGGCACATACGATACTGAAAAGGCGTGTCGGTTCAAAGTAGACTTGACACAGGTTGTTATGGGAAATATTTGGTGTACCAAAATTTTCGACACAATAATACAAACGTTAGGTACATTATAGATAATTTAAATGAAATCGGATGAAAAATTACATGGTAGCTGTATCTAAATCAGAACAGATTTGAACAATATTTAAAACACATATCATTATGCCCTCTGCCATAAGGTAGAGCGTTCATACATTTTTGGATATAATCCCAATTTTTGTTTTATATTAAAAAAAAAAAAAACAATTTATTAGTGGGGAAAATAGGAATCAGAATAAAATTCAATGTCGCCAAATGCCATGTCTGTCTGTCAATTGCAATCGCGATAGAGATCGCAATATTTAGGATGGAGCTTGGAAATTTAGCACAGGTATTATTGCTACGTGATAATGAGATATATCGGTCCACGTTGGTCCCCATATAATGGTACTCCCAATATTTTGTAATTTGATGTTTTAGGTAGTCATTGCTAAGCAAATTCTCAAACCAAAATGATCAATATTGCCAAAACATTGTCCCGGTATAACGACCACCATTATTCGGTATTTCGTTCTCATAGGGTGTCAAAATCTTTATACCAAAAATCTTCAACATCGGTCCACATTTTGGTATACCTCTCATATAACACTAGCCCCTTATTTTTGGTATTTTGAAGATTTCAGACATAGTTTTTAACCAAATTGGTTGTAATTTTATATTTATGGTTCTCATTGTGTGACGAATCTAACAATTATCAATATTTTTGCAAGTATTGGTATTTTCAGGATTTCAGACACGACTAAGATTGTATGTTTTTGGTTCTAATGTTCGTAATCTTTCTTACTAAAAATAACTTCTATTGGTATTTTATCAGTTATAGGCTCCATAAAAAGGTGACTTTCATTTTAGTTTTTTTCAGGATTTCACACATGTTTTTTATCCGAGTTTATTCGATATACTGAGTTTTTATTAGGTGAACAATCTTTTTACCAAAAATTCTAACCCCCAAAAACTTTAGCCCCCTTTGTATGAAGGTAGCATTACGAAGTGACCGTAATTTGGCATTCCAGGAAAACTTTTTTACGGAATTTTTTTCAGTATACGTCCATGCTTCTACAATACCACCACCAAAGGTCACGCATGATTTTAAGTATATTCATGTTCAATCCCAATTTTTCGACCTAGATGTCTGTAGTTCGTTTTCTACTGGATGGATTGAATGTCCCTCATGCTGTACGTTTTTACTTCTTCATAGTAGTAGAGGCAATTTTCATATTTTTCTCCATTTTTTCAGTTATCGTATATTCCTATCTCGGAATTCTTGTACCTCTGTGACATATCCACCTCTATTGTTTTACTAAATCTGAATTCCTGAAATGCTCATTTCCTCTTTATTTTGTTTTTCTTCCAGCACCAACATTGAAGTCAATCTCATTTGCAAGGGTATGCCCGATAATTTGGCACGCCGTAAAGTATTTCGTTCAGCCGATTTCTTTCGCAACGAAATTAATTTCTATTTAAAAGTTGTACCTGCCTGGGAGGAATTTCAAAAGCGACGCAATCCCACAAATCCCTTTACCGAATATCCAAAATTATATGCCAGCCATTGTGATGGTGAAAATGATTTTGTGGCATTGGAAGATGTTAGTTTCTTGGGTTATGGATCACCCGATCGTCAAGGTTACATAACACTGGAAGAATGTATGCTGACAATGCGTACATTGGGTAGATTCCATGGTATATCTCTGGCATTGAATGCTTTGGAACCGGAATTGTTTGAAAAGACCGGTAAATGTTTGGAGGAGACCTATTATGCTGAATCGAATCGTAAATGGTATTTGGATTTTATGAAATTGGCATGTGAGGTGGCCAAAGATGCTGTGAGCAAATCATATCCCGAAAGTAAATATGAAACCATTGCCCATAATTATTTGCATGCCGAACAATTGTATGATGATCAAATTAATTTGGTGTCAACTAAATGTGAGTACGGTATTTTAATAAAAATATAATTTATATTTTATTGTTGTTGTTTTTTCTTATTTCTAGCAAAATTAACTGTTTTTGGCCATGGTGATTGTTGGACACCCAACTTCCTGACGCGTTACAGCAAGGATGGCAAACCGGAGGCCATTAAAATAATTGATTTCCAATTGGCCCGCTGTGCCTCCTTGGCTGTGGACATATCCTTCTTTATTTATTCCTGCACCAGTCATGAATTGCGTGAAGCCCATTATGATAGCCTGCTTAAGGCCTACCACGAGAGTGCTTGTGATTTAATTAAAGATTTGGGTGCCAATCCTGAAACCGTGCTCTCCTGGCAATCGCTATTGGATGAATTGAGAGATTTTGCCCGTTTCGGTTGTGGCATGGGTATTGAATCGCTGCCCATGTCCATGTTGGAAGAAGATGAAATTGCCGATCTAGATGAAATAAGTGCCGATTCGGTTTTGGTAGACGTGTGGGATTTGAAACCATTCAAAGAGCAACATAAACGTCAACGTATTGCTGATATGTTTAAGCATGCCATTGATCAGGGTTATGTTAAATAATTTCCCATAACTTTTTTGATCATAGATATAAGAGTATGGGGTAAAAATTTTCAAATTTTTATTCTTCTTTGGATTTATATAAAATGCAATAAATATTTTTAAATATATTTCTTTTTTTGTAATGTAGTAAAATATTTGGCTTAAATTTCTGAAAAAGGCACTTAAATTCGAATATTGATCTTCAGAAGATCAGTCTTAACTATTTATTAATTAAAAACACATCCACTTCCCAGGTATCCACACCTATGTACTTAAACGTTTTGTTTGCATTGGCCTACAAGCAATGTCCCTCATTGAGTATACACCATTTGGGTACCACAGCATCGGGTCGTATGCCACGTGATATCAGACGATCTCTATAACGGTAGAAACGATATTGGGCCTGTAGATGATTTGTTTTCGGATTCGACCATAAACGTTCAGCAGCAGCTCCAGCACGTGGCCAAATACGGGCCTCTGAAAGGGAAACATAATTATTACCCTGCATTCCTTCGATGGAAGATTTAATAAATAGTTACTTACCCACAGAATTTTGATCGACAAATTCACTCCACATGCACACTTCACCGCCCAAAATATTCGCATTATTATCCATTTTATTATTATAGACCTTGGCCCAATTGTAATATTGTGTACGACCCCAGAAACCATGATCTAAATACCAGGCATCCTTGGTGGATACAATTACCCGATAACCTTTGTTCAGCAATACCGGATTCAAGGGGTCGTCAGCTGATACCCAGGTTTGTATAATAAATCGTTCCTTTGGCAAATATTTTTCTATATGTTCTGGATCTGTTAAATGACTCGACCACACAATTGCCGATTTCGGTACTTTCAAATGTGGATATTGTCGCTGATTAACCTCATCCCAGGATTCCAAATTTTTCTCATGAAATTGTGACCATAATTTATAGAAACTATCTAGGGATAGATCATAACCCATTTCCCGCATTTTCTTTGTAATCTCTTGGGTATTATTCCAACAGGCAATATAGACCTCATCACCACCCATGTGAATGGTTTCCTCTGGAGCACCAACTTCTGCTAGATCTTCATAGATTTCTCTCATTATCGAGTACATATTGGAATTCAGTGGATTCAATTGGCCACATGGTGGTTGTACACAATAATTCCGCCAGGGTTTTTGATTAATGCAAACCGCCATATTACCCATGCCGGCCATGGGACCCCATTGCCAACCGTTACCGGCATGGGAGGGTCCATCAATTTCGATTATCACGCGTATACCACGCAGACGGGCGTATTTAATCATATTTGAGGTATCGGTACGGGAATAGGTATTACCAGCACCATAGGCTCCGAAGCTAGAAAGAGGTAAAAATAAATATTTTTTTGAAAATATTATTTAAAGAAATTCCCTACCGTTGCATTTCCGGTACCCTAGTAATTTCCAAGGGAAAACTATGCGTATCCACCACATGCCAATGGAAGACATTCATCTTCGACGCAGCCATGGCATCGAGAGTATTGCGTATTTGTTTCAAGGGCATAAAATTTCGTGCCGAATCCAATAGAACACCACGATGAGGATATAGCGGGCGATCGGTCACACGAGCAGAGCTCACCATTAGCAGTCCATTACTATAAAGATAAATTAAAATTTTAAATATTATTCCAAAATAATTTTGAAATTTATGTAAGCACACTTACTCTTTGCATCCCGTTATGAGATTGCTCAAGGTTTCAAAAGCATGTCGGGCGCCATATACCGTTGGTGCTTTGATATCCACAAAGGTAGCAGTACCTGAAAATATGGAGTTATTTAAATATTTTTTTTTAAGGAGCAATAGCTCTGATTGGCTTTAACATGGTGAAGTCCAGGCTTATATTGGCCCCTCTTTCATCTCAATTGTGGACACTGACCTACCCGTGGTGCTACCTGGGGTAGCTATTTTCATCACCCGATGAAATAGTGTACTAATATGTGCCGCGAGTTCACCCATAAGAACTATAAAAAATGGGTTGAGGAGTCGGGTTAGTTGCCCACACTCGGAAAACCGAACGTACTATGAAAAAGCATCGATAGACGTTCTATCGATCCGAGGAGCGAATATCGATTCCGACCATTACCTTGTGGCAGCCAAGGTACGCACCCGTAGCAGCAAAGGAGCGATCTAATGTAACACGGAAATTTGACGTCGAAAAGCTGCAAACACAACATATAGCAGAAGCCTAATCCGCTCAACTTAGCCAACTGCTTGACGAAAGCACCCCTCGTCCCGATAATAATATAGAAGCACAGTGGCAGAGAATTCCCCACTCCCTACAAACTGCAGCAAAATCAACACTTGAGTACCAAAGACCACTATCAAGAAATCAGTGTTACGATCAGGAGTGTCGTAATGCTACTGATATGAAAAACGCAGCGTGTAGGTCAAAACTGCGGACAGTAGCAACACGATGGAGAACTATCAGAAGAAAAGGAGTGAGGAGAAACGTATTTTCAGAGAAAAGAAGAACAAGAAAAACGTGAGCGTGAGCAAATCGAGGTGTACAGGAGTCAGAATGAAGTCCAAAAATTCTACCAACGGGTAAAACACCAAATCGAAGGGTTTGGTGCAGACACATCATCCTGTATAGATGAAGAAGGAAACCTGGTGACAGATACAGACAGCGTGTTGAAGATCTGGAAAGAGCATTTTGAAAAGCTTCAGGTATCAAATATTAGCGGTGAAGAGGATACCCCAAAACTAATAATCGATGTTATTCTGACCTAGCCAAGATGAGGTCGGAATAACAGTCAATCTGCTGAAGAATAATAAAACAACAGGTGCCGATGGGTTACCAGCCGAACTATTCAAGACTGGTGGTCAGATGCTGGTAAGGAGCATGCACCAGCTGATTATTACAATTTGGCTAGAAGAATGCATGGCCAATGATTGGAACCTCAGCATCCGATATGTGCAAACTATAGAGATCTATGGTCTGAGCAAACAACTCAAAATCAAGGCCACCCACCGTCAGACAAAACTCACACTCTACAAAACGGTGATACTACCCGTGCTGTTATATGGATCTGAAGCATGAGTACTTATGCAAGCTGATGAGGCAGCTCTTGGAGTGTTTGAGAGAAAAATTCTCCAAAAGATCTGTGGGCCGATCTGCGTTGACGGTAATATCGTTGTGAGACATTTTTAGATGTATTGAGCTGCAGCGACTACGTTGGCTAGGTCATGTTGTGAGAATGGATGAAGATTGCCCAGCCCAGAAGGCATACAAAAGCGAACCAGCTGATGGATCACGCAGAATTGGAAGACCATGAATAAGATTAAAAGACCAAGTGGAAGACAACATTGCCGAATGTGGTCTTTCAAATTGGAAAAACTGCCCAAAAGACCGACTCGACTGGAAATCTTTTTTAAGCTCGGCTTATGGAACGAAAGTTCTGTCACAAGCTAGCTAAGTAATTAAGATATTTTTTCAAGGTCAACCTCTGCGTTAAATCGCAATTTGTTTGCCGTTTGTCCTGACCTTGCATTACACAAAATCGTCTGAATTAATTTCAATTCCCTACAACCCTGCTTATCACAATAACAAATTAAAATATTTTTTCCTACTCACCTGTCGTTCTTATCACCAACTGATACGATTCATCTGTTGACCAATCCAATGTTAAATCTGATGAATTTACTGTGGCCTTCACCAGCACCTCTTTACTCTGTTCCAGGGTACAATTTCGCAAACATTCCTTGATAATATTGCTGACAAAGATACGATTTGTTTCGCGTATAAATTGTGTTGAGGCTGGACTGGGAGCGACAACATTAAAACGCACTTTCCACGGATCGAAGTGGATGCGTTCTTGTGATAGTGAACATGTGCCGGTTGGCAGTGGCCATATGGCACCGTATTTACCGCATGACATTCGACAATCGTGTTGACTCTCGTAACGCTTGGCATCACCAATATTTGAGGCATCGTCCAGTTGGCAGAGTTCGGTCGAGGTGCAAATCCATTTGTTACTACAGAAATAAAGGAATTATACAATTTCTTGATATTTGTATAAAGCCGGGTACATACCTTGTGTCTGGTTCTATGGCTGGACTACCAAATGCCGTTACCGTTACCAAATATTGCAGAAATAATAACGTCACCACCGCATATTTCCAAATCATTTTAAACTTTCTTTTATTTTTTTTTTCAAAATTAAATTTCACTTAATGTTTTATATATTTGTTGTTTTTGTTTTCTTTAGTTTATTATTCCATATTCGCTTTAAAATTTTATAAATAAATCACCAACTGGCCGCCACTGATCGGCTTCGTAGTTGCACTTTCCTAGAAATCTAAAGACAAACTGTCGGACATTACAACTGGCGAATATTTTAATTCACTTTAATGGTGTCAAATGGTGATTGACTTGTTTTACGTTTCACTGATAACAAATGACAAAAACAACACCAGCAACAACAAAAACAACAACAGTGAGATCTCCGCAAATAGCATTTTCCGGAGTGTTGAAGAAAAATCAGTTTGATTGGCAGATGTGCCGCAGATAATTGTAAACAACCTTTGATGTTTAAGAAAAATTTCACAGAAATAATATTAATGCTATTTATACCACAAGCCCTGGTCATTAGTTGGAGAACGCCTTAAATTCCGGAATCATGTTCGGATCCCTAATTTGCGAGCCTTATTTTCACACAATAAACCCAATTTTTGCACCGGTTTAGACGATACACAGGATTAGACGAATCAGGGCAACTATTTTCAAATGGGTTGAGGCGTCGGGTTCACACTCGGAAAAAATAATACTATGGAAAACCAACGAAAAAGAAAACCAAACCCCGTAATGCTGGCGACACCCGCAAGCGCATAAAGGACCACGATCTGCGAATCTCTATTTAGAATGTGCGCACGTTGTACAAAACAGGCGCACTGTTGGCTTTGGCGGATATACTCAAGAAGTACAAAGCTGATAGTATTGCCACGGACAGAAAATTCAGCCTCCATGAAGAAACATCCGACATCGGCATGACGTTGATTGACTTCACCGCAGCAAAAAACATGGTAGTTAGCAGCACCAGATTCAAGCATCGCGATATACACAAGGCCACTTGGATTTCTCCCTATCGAACAACGAGAAATCAACCCAGTGTTTTCGACGTTCGATCGATCCGAAGAGCGAATATCGATTCGGACCAATACTTTGTAGCAGCCAAGGTTCGCACTCGTCTCAATGTAGCAGCAAAGGTGCTATCTAACACAACACGGAAATTCGACGTCGAAAATCTGCAAATATCTGAAGACTATTCCGCTCAACTAACCCACCTCCTTGACACTTCTTGTCCCTACAAAGTGCAGCAAAGGCAACACTTGGATACCAAATACCACCATCAAGAAACCCATGGTACGATCAGGAGTTTTGAATACTACTGAGTTGAAAACGCAGCGTATATAGAGCAATCCTGCTGACAGAAACAACACCTTATGTGAAAGAGGATTAATAGGAGTAAAGGAGAGAGGAGAAAAAACGTGAGCGGGAGCAAATCGAGATGTAGAGTCAGAAGGAAGTCCGGAAATTTTACCAACGAGTAAAACCCCAAACCGAAGTCTTTGGTGCAGGAACATCCTTCTGCAGGGATGAAGATGGAAACCTGTTGACAGATACATGTATCGTGTTGAGGATCAGGAAGGTGCATTTTGCAAAGCGTCTGGTATCAAATAGTGGCGGTGAATAAGATACGCCAGAACCAATAAGAGATGGCGGTATAGAGCGTATACCACATAGTGATGATGAAGTCAGAATAGCAATCAATCGGCTGAAGAATAATAAAGAAGCTGGTGCCGATGGGCTACCAGTCGAACTATTAAAGACCGGTGGTCAAATGTTGATCAGGAGCATGCACTTATTAGTACAATTTGGCTAGAGGAATGCATGCCCAATAATTGGAACCTCAGCATTCTGTATCCCGTGCATCAAAAAGGAGACAAGACGATTTGTGCCAACTATAGAGGAATTAGTCTCCTTCCCATCACATATCGAACGTACTGAGTGAACGACTGAGACAATGGTTAATGATATTATTGGACCATACCCATGCGGCTTCAGACCTGGAAAATCCACCATAGACCAGATTTTCACTCTGCGCCAAATTCCGAAAAAGATCCACTAAAACACATCAATACATTCCACTGATTTGTCGGCTATAAAGCCGTATTCGACAACCCATTCCGCTTAACGCCATGTCTGCGTTGGGCATTCCTGCAATATTAATAAGGATATACAGGATAAATCTAACAGGAACAAGGTCAGCTGTTAAAGTCGGAAAAGACCTCTCGGAGCCCTTCAATACCGAACGAGGATTCAGACAAGGTGAAAGCCTCTTTTGTGACCTTTTTAACATCCAGCTGGAAAAAGTCATACGAGATGCAAAGGTGAACAGAAATTACACTCTGGACACCAAAGAAAACACATGTTACTCGCCTACGTCGATTACATCGACATAATGGGTCAAACATTGAAAAACTGCAGCTTGGAGGTAGTCAACGATTTTATATACTTCGGTATCGTCATAAATAAAACTAACTGTTGGCCAACAGATGCTACTATGGTCTAAGTAAGCAATTCAGAATCAAGGCCACCTCTCGCCAGACCAAACTACCCGTGCTGGTGTATGGATCAGAAGCATGGGTACTTGCGCAAGCAGATTAGGCAACTTTTGTAGTGTTTGAGAGAAAAATTCACCGAAAGATCTGTATGTCAATCTTCGTCGACGGTGAATATCGCCGTCGAATGAACCATAAGTTATAACATCTATTCTCGAACATCAACATAGTCAGACGTATCGAGCTGCAGCGTCTACGTTGGCTAGGTCATGTTGTGAGAATGGATGATGTCCCAGCTGAAAAGGCATATAAAATCGAGCCTACTGACGACTCACGCAGAAGGAATGCCACGAATTCGATGGAAAGATCAAGTGGAGGATGACACATTAAAAAAATTGTATTTCAGATTGGAAAAACTGCGCAAAAGATCGACGAGCCTTTTCGGCTTATGGAACAAACGTTCTGTCTCGAGTCATCTAATACAGAACTAAGATTTTAATTTATGTTTGAAAAAATATTACTATGTGCAAGGTTTAAATGAAATCGATTACTCCCTTTGAGGTTTAGTCCGACGGACGAACGGATATTTCTAAATCGATTCAATATTGTCTGAAACATGGACCCCATATCGAAGGTTTTCTGAAAATATACCTTATATGAAGGCCAATTTTATAACATGGAACTATATAAACAATTTTCTGTGACTATTATTCGTTTTATGTAACGAATATGTTTTCATCAAAAATGTTTCCGGTTTAATATTGATCAATTCGGTTATTCAAATAAAATTTACAAGATTATATAATACTGACCCTTTTTGGGCCAGACGGGTCCCAACTTCGAACTTGATATAGGCTTTGTAAAGATATTAGATTTTGTGAAAGTTTGATTCAAATTGGACATTCCATTCGCCTGATTTTGCATATATAAATATTGAATATTTTGACCCTTTGTAGGGGAGTTACTAGAAGGAGTGGATCAATGGGTCCCTTCTTCAAACTTGATCTAGGTTGTGCAAAGTTTGGTTAAAATCAGACATTCCATTCGCCTGATATTGGATTTTTAATTATTGAAAATTTTGACCCTTCGTGGGGGAGGTACCAGAAGGAGTGGACCAGTGGGTCCCATCTTCTAACCTGATCTAGGCTTGGTAAAGATAAAATGTTGTGCAAAGTTTGGTTCAAATCGGACATTCTATTCGCTTGATAATGAATTTTTAAATATTTAAAATGTTGACCCTTTGTGTGGGAGTTACCAGAGGTTGTACAGAGTTTCGATAAGATCGGATAGTGCGTTTGCATGTTATAATAAAATTAATTTTTTACACAGGAGTGGATCGATATTCCCCATCTTCGAACATAAACTAAGTTTGGAAGAAATATTAAGATGTTCAAAGTGCGCACCAGCCAGCCAGACAACGGACGGACGGACATGTGTATATCGACTCCAAATTTTCTGAAACGGATTTGGTCCAAAGAAACACGGGGTCTAAAACCATATTCACCGTATCAAAGTGTATATACGCACATTAGACATAAGACTGAGGGTATAAAAATATTTATATTGAAAATTCTATTTTAGAAAATGATTTGGTAAATTATCCCTAAGATATTGAGGAGGATTTATCAGAAAATAAATGTAAAATATTACTTTGCTCAGGGGGTTTCTTTGGTGATTGTTTATCTATACTAATAAAAGAGTAAAGTGATTGACTGACTGACTGATTGACTGACTGACTGATTTAACGATTCATCAACGCCCAGACGAATCGGCTGAAGCTAGAATCTTGAAATTTTGGGTGAGGGTCACTCTTGGCCCAAATGTGACAGATAAGGCTGGGTTTTTGGAAATTCGTATTAGAAGGGTACGAAAAGTACTAAAAAGTACTAAATATGATATCATTTGTATTTGGCGAGCCAATAGAGCTAGAACTCTGAAATTTGGATTGAGGGTCACTGATGGAGTGTAGGATAGATGTACCAAAGGGTTTTTGGAAATTCGAACTACAACTATCCGAAATGTACGAAAATGTACTAAATTTGGTACAATTCTGTAGCATGAGAACGGATAGAGCTAAAAACTTGAAATTTGGAATGCGAATTAGGGTTGGGAAGTAGGGTCCATATAAGGAGATGGTTTTGAAACCGTGTACTCATGTGTACGAAAAGTACTATATGGTACTATATTTGGTACAAATTTGATTTGGAGGTACAAATGGAGCTAGAATCCTGAAAATTGAAAGTAACATTACCGTCGGAGTATAGGATTGTGATATGTACGTAGTTTTGGAAATTTGTTACTTATGTGTACGAAAAGTACTAAATCGTACTATAATTGGTACAATTTGGATTTGGGTGAACCGATAGAGCTGAAGCAATGAAATTTTGAGTTAGGATCATTTTAGGGGTGTAGGATTGGGGTCAGGACTCAGTTTAAGACATTATTACTTATGGGTACTAAATGGTACTAAATTTGGTGCAATTTGAATTTTAGGTGAACCAATTGAGCTAGAATCATAAAATTTGGAGTCAGGATCACTGTCGAGGTGTAAGATTGAGATATGCAGG